GCGTCGTCTTGAGCCAATGGAAGTAAGCTTCATGTGGGAGGATCAAAATCTTGCAGTTCCTGATTGGTCAAGGACAAAGCTCAAGAGTTTTTATTACATCATGAACAATCTTTTCAGGATCACTCTCAACCCTAAAGACAATGCAACAGATTTGAATGGCTATATTACTAATGTGTTGTCTAGGTTTCCCAGCAGTGAAAAGTTTAATGCTCCAAGATTCATTTGGGTTGAGCTAGCTTATGCCATGGATGATGGGAGGAGATCTTTGCCCTATGCTCCTTACCTCATGTTTATGATTGAGAGAGTGACTAGCATGTGGTTCCCTAAGGATGGTGAGCACACTGTTTACAAGATCAAGAAAACCCATGGTGGCTTAGGGGGACTTGGTTCAGCTACTCAGCACACTGGTTCTGGAGGACTTGGAGATAGTGAGGCAGCAGGCCTTCACCCTTCTAGAGCTGCACAGAGAGATGTTCTTGAGCCGTCCAGGGCTAGGGAACAAAATAAGAAATCAAAGTGGGGAAAGATGAGTGCATGGATGAAGGCAATCTTTGCTCATTGTGCATATACTTCACAGACTGTTTATGAGGATAGAATGGAGAACAGGGAAGCTATGAGGCATGCTAGGGAGATGGCTGGGCTGCCACCACTTCCACCAGTGCAGCCACCACCTCAGTTTCCTAATTTGCCTTGCCTTTCTTCTTCTGATGAGGAGCAGGATCAGCCGCATGAGCACCATGATGGACAGCCAGATGATCAGCAGCATGGACACTCATATGAGCCATTCAGTCAGTACTACGAGCATCCACAAGGATAGCATTTTGAGGAGGCCCCAAGTCAGCAGGACCTTGGTGCAGAGATTCACCCTACAGAGGCAGATCCACAGGTTCAGGCAGCTTTGTTTCGCACATATTTCAAGAGACCGCGTCCTTCAACGGATCAGCCAAGGCCTTCTACATCAGCTGGGGCAGCACCTTCGCAACGTTCAGCACGCTTCACTTCACACACCCACGTCGCCAGACGTGCCCGCGTCGACTCCGACAGTGACGAGTGACTTCTCTTCTTTTTCTTCTCTTTTTGGTATTTGATGCCAAAGAGGGAGAAAATTAGAGGGGTCAATGGTTTTTCGGGTTTTTCGACGCCTTGCTGCTGCGCTTCATGTTCAGATCCGATGAGAGTAGATGTTAGGTTGTGAGTTTGAGAGTCGCTCAAAACTTTATTTTATGAAATTATACTACTTTGTGACTTTATTTGCTTCGGATATGGACATATATTCATGATTACAGTTTTAGCTTGTCATATTTTGAGTTTAGATTGCTTTATATTCATATGATCTGCTGTAGAAATTTGATTGCTATCTGACTGATATAGTCAGGACGGCAGTGCCGCCCTATGGGGCCAGCAGTGCCGCCCTCTGCTATATCAACCAGAATCTTGTGTGCTTGAACTGATAAAACTTGTCATATGCATCATGATTATTCTTGTGACACTTTGTTCAGCACCCCACAGCAGGCATGGATGTAGGGGGAGATTCCCATCACACCTAAAATGTGAATCATGGCCTTTTATGCCAAATTGAGAATTCAAATCTTTATTCACATATTTAGGGGGAGGCTCCTACACCCATGGTTCGAAAATCTCGGTTTAGATTTTATATCATTTGTAAGCTCTAATTGGGTTGTCATCAATTACCAAAAAGGGGGAGATTGTAAATGCAATCAAGCCCTATTGTGGGTTTTGGCATTGATGACCAACAAATTAGAGGACTAATAAGATTTATCGAGATAACAAACAGGGAATCAAAGAATGAGGATGATGTACAGGTTGTAGGTGTCCTAATTACAAAAGGTGGCTGGACCTAGCTCAAAGGAGGTTTAAATTCTTTTATGTTTTGAAATTGAGTTTAGGGCAAGCCGTACTATTAAGAGGGATTTTAGGACAATTGGTCAACTGTTGAATCAGATGCTCAAATTCACAAATCTACATCCTCCCACCTAGTCAAAACAGCCAGCCAAATTTCATATCATGTTACCTGTTTTGGCTAGGGCGGCAGTGCCGCCCTGTTAAGAGCGGCAGTGCCGCCCTTAACTGACCGTTGGGCTCGAGGGGTATTTATACCCTTCAGGCCCGGCCTACAACGGTCATCTTCTCCACTGACTCACTCTGCTCGAAAACAGACAGAACCAAAGCTCATCTCTCTCCTCCATTGTTGATCCTCCATCCCTCAAGCTAATCCTTGATTCCAACCATCAAAACTTGAGAGAAAAGGCAGCAAAACTCGATTGGAGAGGAGATCCACTGATTCCCAAAGTCTAAGAGCATTTGGTTCACGTTTGGCCGACGGTTCTAGGGTTTGTTACTCTTGGAGCTTGCTCCTAGCCGGGTAGGCGTCACCCTTGTGCTTGTCAACTTGTGTGGCAGCCTTGGGAGGTTTGTAACATCATTCAAAAGCTAAGAAATCACCCCTCACTTCAAGAGTTCACTCTCTTGATTTGAGAACGAGGGTAAGGCAAGCCTTGGTGGCAAGCTCAAGCCTTTTGTGGCTTCCTCAACAACATGGACTTAGGCAAACCTTAGTGATGAGCTGAACCACGGGATAAATATTGTGTCTCGCATGCTTCATCTTTGCTATACTTGCTGTTTACTTTATTGCTAGCTGTTGTTAGGGTTTAGTTGCTCGATTTACTCTTGTGTGAAGTTTCTATGGTATCCAGTCTTCGAACTGGATCTTGACTCTATATTGTAGGATTAAGCAGCTAGTGGGGTCAGGTTCATCTCTGTTAAATCTCAACTGTGTTAGATTATTTTTCGTAGAGCGGCAGTGCCGCCCTCTGTTCTAACAGAGTTTCGAGTTGAATTTTTACAGGCCTATTCACCCCCCCTCTAGGCCTTCTTTATCTTCCAGTAGATCCTACAGCCTGCATACGCGTAGCACCTCGCTTCGTGCAAAAGGTTTAACCTGGAGGTATTACATTTGGAACGACAAGGATTATAAACTGACTCTCACCCTCCTAAACTTCCAAGGTGGTACTAAACCCACCAACCACCACAACCATACATGAGCCACACTTGGGCCACAAGGGTTAACTTCACAACTACTACATGCTACTAATGGACTAGGGTGTTACATAAGGGCAAGAGCAATAGTCAACCTTCTCAAGATAACTATGAAGACATGGTGAAGAAGTTTAAGAAGGGATGAGGATTGTCTCCTGCCTCATCATGAAAGTAAGAAGTCCAAGCAAGGGAAAAGAAACAAGCAGCACATGAAGAAGATCATGGATCCCATTACTCTCTTCAAGTGCAAGAAATTGAGGCACCATACAAGAGATTGCATAGTAATAAAGATATAAGACAAGAGCATGAGAGGACAAACAAGAAGTATCAGTAGAAGATGTTATGGCTACTTTGAGAACGTACACAAGATTGGAGCGTATCCCCACATCTTAGTCTTGCACTTTGGTAAAATCGGATTAACTAGTTTCTTGAAACACGGTGACCCAATTTTGATAGTTAAAGCACACAACACTGATTTATCCAAGAAAAGGCTCAAGTCCTCAACTAATAAGCAAGTTTTTCAGTGTTTCTCCCACTAGATGTGATTATGAGGTGTTGTACATTTAACAGATTTAGATGTCAGAACATGTGTCACGCCCCTAAAATTTCTATTTTGGGATGTGACTAGAAAACACTAAATGAAATCAATGATTTTAATCATTTTCTAAAATTTGTTGTCAATGTGGAGTAACAAGTGGCACAAATGCGAATTTGTAATTTTTTTACAATGTTAATTTAATTGTTTGTTCTATTTGATTCCTTTACATTAATTTTTGGTGTGTGGTAACAAGTTCACAATTGCATTCCAAAAGTGTTGGAAAATGTGTATTAACTAATTTGAAAATTTTGTTTTAAAAAGGGGGTTTAATTCCTCAAAATAGTTGTATATTTCAGAAATCAGAATAATGCTTGTGAAATTAAGTTTCAAAGTGGTTTAGAAATAGTTTATTTTTTTATTTAAAACTGGATCCAAAATGTCTTAAATGGTTATTTAAAAATAGGGTTAAAAATATCTCAAAAGAGCATCAAAATAGTTTTCAATGATTTGTAAAAATATAGTTTAAAAGGTTTGATAAGGAAGTTAAAAAATAAAAAGACATTCAAAAATGATTGAAAAGTATGAAAAGATAATGGTTTGAAACAAGTTCCAAATATATTTATTTTTAATCAAGTTTTAAAGTTTGAGAAGATGCAAGATTCAAATAGTATAAAATAAGTTTCTAAATTAGTTTGCAAAACTATTAAACCTTAAAAACCTGTCTTGGGCCGAATTCAAATCAAAACCAACCCAAACCTTTTCTCTTAATCTTTTATTTTCTTTTCGGCCTGACCTAGTTCTCTCGGGCCCAAATCCACCAGCCCAACTCCTACCCCATGCCCAACATTCTCCGTTGCTAAATTGGTCACTGGTGGACCAGAAACCAATCAAGCCAGCATGCGTTTCTCCCTCCCACTGTCTCACTGGCCCAAGGACCCACATGTCATCCCTCTCCTCCGTCTAGCTCTTGCCAGAGGTACCCCCGCCATTACCCGTGGAGCTCGAGCTCCAAATGAGCACCACCACGAGCTTTCCCGAGAACATCTAACAGCCCCACCACAATCCCCGTCCACTCCTCTCCACTTCCCTTCCCTTTTCTCCTTCAATCCATACATGTTTGGCGACAGTGCAAAAACATAGCAAAAATTTGAAAATGGTAGATGGACGAACTGATATAATGTTATACAATTATGCCCACAGCACATATGTAACCCTCGGACATCATCACGCCATATCTTATCACTCACATCTCACATCAAGGGAAAATAAGAATGTGAAATGTCACTACATATCTGACAAGAAAATACCTCTCAGAACAGAGCTCAAGGGAAAATACTTAAGCTAACAAAAATGACAAGAAATACAAACATATCAAATAGAAAAATCTGCACATGTTTCCTATACTCTAAGATTGTCGATGGACTTGGAAAAACCGTTGGTATTCTGGGAATGTTTCTGTAATTCTTTCAACCAGGCTGTCTGGAAACGTTTGGGCCTGCAAAGCAGGACGTTTCTGCATCAGGGAAATAACCACGTCTTGTATGTCCACATCATCCAGAGAGCCTGCGTTTACTCAAGAGGCAAGTGGTCACGAAACTATCCCCACATGTTTAAGGTAAAAAAAAAGATTGGGGTAATAGATGAAGAAACTTACCCAATTCAATGTCTTGGGTTTCTTCATCAATGTCTCCTTCCTCGATAGCCTCGATTGACTCACCCACAGCAGCTAGTGCATATCTTTCAAGGAATTCCTCTTCTGTTTCTTCCCGCACATCATCGTCGTCCGAATCCTAGTTGCATTATTCTTTTTTATCTTGAGCGGAGTGCTTAAGCATGACAAGAAAAGGTACAAAGCAGTGTCTTCATTTCTGTTACCTCATCATCGTCTTCGGTGTCTTCATCTTCATCGTCATCATCAAGATCTTCAGCACCGTCATCGTCATCATTGTCCCCATTGTCTTGAACTTCCTTCAGCTGAATGCAAGATTCCATCAGTGATACATAGCAGTCTTGTAACACTTTGGTGCCACCCATGGAAAGTGACATGAGATGGTTAGTCACAGTTGATAATGTTAGCACTGCATCAAGGAAACAAACAATTAAAAGCTGGCCCACATTCATAAGATGTCAGAGAAAATATCAACAGAGTTAAACAATGCAGTGATCAGTACTACATAGGCACTTACCGGCTAACTTGATCTCGGATTCAGATGACAGGCCAGGATTGAATGAGCTGCTTGAGACTTGTGCCAATGCAGATGTCCAGATTGCAAAACCATTACCATCAAAGTTGTTCAAGACTTGTTCAATGGCATCTGGATAACAAATGTAGCATGAAGATATTGCCAACAATAGTGGTTTCCATAGCCCAGCAGGACTGTCAGATATAGACTTGAAGCGGGAAAATGCTGCTTGTGCAAAGGATTCAGCAATAGTCTTTCTAGCATCTTGTGTTCCAAGGGAGAAATTTGGAGCGTGCAGTAGTAGTGTATGGATGCATGAGCATGCCCTCCATGTTGCAGATGGGTAAGCTGCAATTGCCCTTGTCACAAAATTAGAAACCCGACCAATGACTGAACTCTGTGAAGCATTTTCAGTCTGCGTTGGAAGCATTTTCAGGAAAAACCCGTCAAGATCAAATCTTTGGTGGAAATTGACAGCTTCTTTAATTGCGTTGAAAACCCCCTCATCCTCCATCTCCTCCCAGGAGTCCCAGTTAGCAATAGTGTCAGCCCATATAGCTACCAGCTCAAAGACCTTCATACTTGCAGTTTCTTCCATGCAAGTAACAGAACTCATGACAAACTCAAGTAACACAGAAGCATCATTTACACATGACGGAGGTGGCAATGCAGAACCGATGTTCTCCTGAAATGAATGTTGAAAACAGTCAAGCAAATTTCACTGCATGAATACTAAGACAACAGGTCAACAGCAAACCTAACATACCATATTGTCAACTTGCAACAACCAAGCTTTTTGTAACAGTAATGAAATTGTTTCAGCAATAGCAGACTGGCCTGACTGCCAGACCCTCTTTTCATGTGTCTTGTTTTCATCTGGTGCAGAGTTCTCCCAAGCTTGAACCATTGCTACCAGGGCTGCAAAACCCTGTTCAACAACCTACATAGCAGATATATTAAATAGTGTTGTTGGGATTTCCTCAAGGAATCCAATACACCAGGAATACTGGGACATGATGAAAGGTGATCATACGAGCACGACTGAGAAACATGCATTTCTTTTAAAAAGTAAGCTGTCAGTAGTTGCAAATGAATTTTTATCGTATTAATTATTCTATTGAAAGAAGTTTACAAGGTAGGTTGAGATTCTTATGTCCAATTTGTAGTACCAAAATGTATACTGAATCAGCTAATCCATAATTTGCCAAAGGCCAGAAATAATATTGTTAATACAAAAGTAATAACTGATCATAAGATCAAAAGCAGGCATGGTGATTTAACCTCCTTGCACAAAGTACCAAAATATTGACCACACAGAAGAAAGATGCACTACTACCTGAGGCCAAGGATCTGGGACAGGGGGCAGGAGCTCCATTACAGTATTAGCAATGTTAGACACAATTTCAGGAATATGGGATAGAACTTTTTCTTGTCCACCCTCAACTATTGTGCCCAGAAGCTTAAACTGAAGAGCAGACTCATTTTCATCTCCAGTACTTATTCTTTTCACAACCACTTGCAAAAGAACGAGCCAGTCAGGTGGAGCATAACTATTCTGAAAAAATCAGAGACAAAATATATCAGTTTATACTTCCAGGTGCAAGTAGACTACAATGGAAAATACTGCATTGACTCTTAACCTCGATGAGTTCTGCAATAGCACCAGAAGCAGAGGCACAAACTGGATAACAAGTTATGTCCTCCACATCCTCCATCGTCAACGCCTTCATTAAGGACTGATAAATACTAGTACTCATGTCCTGGTAAGCAAACAAGAATTAGAAAGCCAAATATATAATGTACAGGAATATACATATTACATGAAGCCTTTTCTTTGATCCAGCATGTCCTATGGGATGATGGAATTAAAAAACAGGGAAAGCATGTAACCTCTGGTAGGCATATAGCAAGCTGACCAATAACCCAATTAGCCGTTGAAATCAAATATGGGCTGCATGGATCCAAAGAATATAATGGAAGAATCCGGTTCCTGATCAATGTAATTGTCAAATCTTTCTTTTCAGTCAGAAACTGCAAGATGGATACTGAAATGAATTAGCATTTCTTATAAAAAATCATAAAATAAGACACTAGAAGGATATAATTTAAAAATCTTACATCTTGGAGGCCTCCATATGCCATCAAAACTCCAAAATAACTGAAATGAAACCCTTTAGTACATCAGGATAAGAGTAAAGTAAATAAACATAGTATTATGTCTAAACGTCTGTAATCCTTTCTTTTATGATAAAGACAACTGATTCTTATGATCTTACTTCCGCACTTCCATTGATGATGCATCTTCACCATGGGAAGGTATAGGAAATTTTGACAGGAATGGGATGACCAATAACTCCCCAATTGAGCTCCTTTCAGATTTCCCTTTACTTTTATCACCTTTCTTCCGCTTGGATGCTGCAGGTGCAACTGGTGGACCCTGAAACCAAAAAAAAAGAATGTAAGTAAATGATAGCACCAGCTCCGCATTTTATTTTAATTCAATAAACTACATGGTTCAGTGAAAAATAGCAAATGTGTATGAACTTGGAAGATTGTGCATGTAGCCACTGAAATCGGGATTACAATATAGCAAAACAATCTTTTAAAATGTTTTGCTCAGCCTGAACTCAGTACTATGTGTGTTCAACAAACTAGAATAAAAAATGAATCACAACCTTTGACAGAGCTATAACACCAAGTAAATTGATTGCACTTTTTCTGGCAGTGAACAAATCCTCAGTCCATCCTGAAATGTCATCCTGCCAATAAATATATCAGCAACAGAAGGAACACCAGAAAAAAAAACTAGAAACGCTGAATCCTGTCCTTACAAGTTCAGAAGGAAGATTCTTTTGCATATACTCATCAGTATCCTCCTCCCATTCTGCTATATCCTATTATAGACAAAAGTTAGGACTTAGGACAAAAGAAGTGCATATTGGGTATGGTGTTATTTATGACCAAAAGATAGGGAGCTAACCTTCTCATTCAACGCTAATGCTGGAAAAATTGCTGAATCAAGAAGTGAAGAAAAATGTGGTGAAACTAGTCGCCATCCCTTCAAACAAGGGAGCAGATGGACATCAATTTGTGAACATTTGAGAGAATTATCATCTCAACTATTTGGTGCAGATACTTACCGGTCCTGTTTCCAAAACTCGAGAAATTACATCAAATGCTAATGAAAAAATCCGATTGGGGAGAGAGTCAAGTTTCTGCAATCATTTGGCCATCTTAGGATCTAAATCTAATCCAATAAGAATTATAAACAATTATTGGAACAATCATTAATCTGGAATGTCAGCATTGACTCAGAATGCTAGTCTCCATCTTTTTGCACAAATAATTAAATTCTTTGAGATATAGAACTTACACTTAAGTGAATGCTTTGTTTCGATATTTTGATTGCACAGTTGACAATATGTGGCATCTGGCTGAGAACATCGGAGCATAAGTTTTGAAGAAAATATTGGAGCATAGCTGCATAGGTAAAATGGAAAATATGCTAGAAAAGAAGAATAGTAAAGGCCAAAGTACATACTTATCTGCATGTTTCCGGTGACGTGTAACAAGTGCGCACAATATAATGAGACACCTCTTTGCAATCTTGAGCCTTATGGTAGGTCCATCTTCAATAGGACTATTAAAGTTCAAAGAATCTAGTATACAGAACATGTCTTTGCAAAAGGAAGGCAAAATTTGTTTCACCCTAGATGGCATGTATGACCTCACCTGCAAGATTATAACAATTAGATACCCATGAGAAAAAGTTAGCACTTAACAGAATGCATGCCACAAAATTGATAAGCTGCGGTGCTGCACCACAAGTGTCAATGCACAGAGAAGCAACTAATGGATTTAGAGACCAAAATGGCAAAGCCAAGCCCAATATAGCAATCCTATAATACCACCATAAACAGACATGAAGCTAAACAACTCAACCCACCATTTCATTGATTTACCTTCCCAGAGTTTAATAATTGGCAATATTAAATATATTCCTGCAAATGATACTTAGTTTTCTGATAGCAAATTTGTGGCTTTCTTCTTCGCCTTAATTACGTTCATGATTCAAGAAAATGTCGTGATGATATTGTTAATACAAAAGGAATAAGAAATAAAAACAGGGCTTACAGTGAAATACATGCATTTGCATGTGATAAGTAGGAGCTGCTCATATTCCAAGTTAGTCCCATCAGGTGACAACAGAACCTATTGCACACACCATAAATGGTCAACAGAAAAGATCAAACTGGCTGTAACATTTAACTAAAAACAGAGTGCACAAACATAATACCTTGTCAGAGAAGTGATGGAATGTCACTTGCAATGGTACAAGAATCTCTGCTGCAATTTGCTCCAACTGTTGTGGAACAGGCTCTTTTGCAACTTTTGGATTCAAGAAATACTGTAAGATGACACATAAATTACAAAAATTAAATATGGAACATATTAAAATACTATGGGTGAATTCTGGAACATTAGTGGATAGAACCAAATAAATTAGTGTGGACAGTACAAGTCTGATAGCAGCATACTAGACTTACTAGTGTATTGAAATGCTAAGTTATGAGTATAGCATCTCAAACAGAGTATACCAGGGAATAAGGATAAAATAGTGAACTCCAAAAATAAAGGAATCAGCTTTCAGTTTCATTCATAGGAAAGCTAGTAACTTCACTCTGAACAAGAAATTGGTAACTGTGTATAATACAAGGGCTACACTGTATAGCCGTCAAAGTCACAATCATATGTTCATGCTTCTATAGATAAACCCGAGGGAGAAACAGGTGGTTTTCAAAAACTGCCAGAAGCATAGAAAGCAAGAGATGTACCTGGAAGGGCCTCACAACAGATTGAAGTACTTTGAGAGCATTAATGGTATTCCACTCAGGATGCTGACCTGGACTAACTAGATTGCTTCTCTGGATCACTAATTTCAACTGAGGGATAAGCTCAGGCCACAAGTTATCCTTGACAAAATCTTTTCAATAACTTGGCGGAACTGTTCAGAAGATATTGCAAGCCGTTAGTAAAACAACCTTAAAACATACAAAACAGGGTTCTAAGCACAGGGATCTTGAGGGATATATAAGAGTATAAGACTTACAACTTCAATCAACACTCGAAGAATTGCAGGTTCCGCTCGAAGCAAAGCCTGGGCAAGTTGGTCACGGAACTCCTTGTAAACCTCAGACGAACACAGACGGCTTTCCAAATTGCGGCGGGTAAAATTTTTCAAGTATGTCGCTGCAGCGACTCTCATCCCCTGATCACCGTCCCCTATAACCACATCACAAATAGTAAGAACTAAGAACATAATCACCAAACTTTCACATGTTAATAAGAACTAACTTCTGCTTATGTTTAAAAGGAATTTCTCTTTCCCAAGTAAAAAGCATATGACTTGCAAGCAATTGAATTATACCCATGGCCATAGTTGGTGGATTCATTCATGTCCCACAATCTAAGATTTTCCTAAATTTGGTCTTTCCATGTGCATAAACAGAATCCAGACATGGTAAGTGCCATCTTTCAGTAAAATTCAGGAGGATCTTTGGTGCTGTGCGTGCCAGCTTACTGTAGCTCATACGCATCGGACACTCGGAACTAGCAATCGCATCAGTAGAGCCACGCAAGGTATTAATTCTCGAAGGGAAAAAGGCACTATTTTTCACGGAATCACAGTGAAACAAGCGAACATCCCATGCCAGCCGGAAGCGGCTAGACGCTGGGAACACAATCCACACACCGAGATCCCCAAAATTGAGCTCCAAGTAGAGCAATTAAAGACGCAATTTCAAGCAGCGGCTGGAGGAAGGGAGGAAGGAAGGAAGGAAGGAAGGGGGTACCTGCGGCGACGGCGAGGATGGCGAGGGGGAAGCGTGGGTCCGCAGCGAGCGCGTCGAGCCCCGCGGCGGCGGCGTCCACCGACGCCTTGTCGGGGCTGAGGGTGGCCGCGAGGAGCCGCCGCAGCTCGTCGCCGGCCAGGGCGGCGGCGGGGGTGTCGAACTCCATGGAGGCTGAACCCTAGGATAGTTTCCCCCTTTCCCTTTTTTGATTGACCAACTGGAGCGGCAAGTGGAGGGAAAGAAGAAGGGCTGCGTATTGCGCGGGAGAGTGTGGCGGGAAAACGAAATGTTAGTAGCAAAATCATCGAAGGGGCGGAACAATGATTAGGCGCCGTTTGTCGGTGCTTGGGATTCTCTCTGTTTTTTTATTTCCACTTTTGTTTTCTCCAGGTTCTATACTTTGTAGAATTTCACTTTCGTGAGATTGTTTGGCTACCCATCCGTGGAAGAAATATACTCCATTTGTCCCGCTTTAATGGTCGCTTTAGGTTGTTACTAGGTGCAGCAACGATTGAATGCACTCTACTACGTTGTGTGTCCAGATTCACTCTACTATGTTGTGAATGTAGACGATTGAATGGATTGCCACAACGACCTTTTAAAGCGGAACAGAGGGAGTATGTATGTGTGGGGTGTCATTATGATGAAAAACCACACTAAAACCAAATTGTTGGTCTTGCTTTCTGTTTGAGTTTCAAAATCTAAGGAAACATTTTTTCCGCTATGTACGAATCATTGGTATGTCCTTCGGAGAATAATTCAAGAATCATTTTCACGTGTCATTAGAAGGATAACTTTCAAGCACCATGGGCCAAAATGGTGTGGTCAATGTGGAGCCTCGCCACAGCAAGCTCGAATGATGCTGATGAATACCATCCGAGCGGTCATGGATGATTAGCTGTTGCATCACCCGTGAAACAACACAAGTTTGGAGGACCTTGCCCCTTGGGAACAAGGGGTTCTCCCTTTCATCAAGGAAGTGGCTGATTTTTTTTTCTTGAGGAAAGGAGGAATTTTTCGGACCAATGGTGGTATTTGGGAATAGTAAAAAATGGAGGAAGATGAAGAAAAAGAGGTCAAAGACAGAAGAAGAGGAGAAAGAGGAAGTAGTAGACTCCTTTTATAGCAATCCTAGATCCAACATTGATGATAGTTGTACTAAATTGTTGATCTTGATACCATCCATATGTAAACATAAACAACCATAATTTGATTTTAGCTTAGGACAGAATTAAACACTGAGCTAGAGGGTCGGGTCTACGATGCAACGAGGATAGATTCGACTGTTGTAAGGAAAATGGTACCTACCTAGTGCCATATATGGTTTTAGTGATTGTTTGACAACATGATCGTTTGGATTAATGTAGTTTGCTAATATACATGGTATTTAGTCAAATGGATGCAAGGACGTGCTTGGACAAAAGGCAACATGAAGACCAAGTGATAAAACACCTCAAGCAATGCCAAGGAGTTATGTTGAAGACTACTCCCTCCATGTTCTCGTTTTGGATATAGACACGGCCTTCAAAAACAACTTTGACCACTATTTTTTTGCTATAAAATATAGTCAATATATACTTTTATAAACTTACATTTTGATATGAATCTACTTATATCACTTTCATATTTTCAAGAAATACGTGAAGTCCGGACAAGAATACGTGAAGAAATGAAGCTCAACCTGCACTAGTTATATGCAACAAAAGGTCCGGTGATAGGTCTGAGAAGAGCACCGAAAGAGAATCTTAGTGTACAAAGGGAACGATCCAGTCATCTTAGACTCACTGGATTTCTCTGGTGGTGTGTGTTGGGAAGCATCGGAGCTTCGGCTCAAGGGCCAACAATAGGCAGAGGAAAAAGTGTCTCTACAGAAGGTTTGTGAAGGCAGCAGACAATTGCGAGCTATACAGAAGCTACACAGAAGGTTTTAGTCACCACCAGAATTCTCCGATAATCACCGGAGAAAAGGTGTCCGCCCCAATGATGGTCGGCAATGGCTAGTACACGTGGCTGGAACCCAAATTTCTGGTGGTGTCACCGGAGCTTTCTATTGAACGTTGTACGAGTGTAGTTTATTGCGAACGGCTATATCATCTCAGGGTAGAGGCTATATATACCCCTCAATCCCGGCATTTGAGTGTTGTTGGAGTCGAGGATCGTTGCTAGTGAGTTGAGGCTCATCTCTAAGATACTTTAGCCACCATAGTGCTTTAGGGAAAATTAGGTGAATTGGTTAGTGTTTTGCAAAGTGCTTAGTCTAGTTAGACCCGTATATTGACGCTTTGCTCTGGGCTTAGTATTTAGTGATGTTTGAATAACTCTTGGCACTCGGTGCTTACACACACTATTGTGTACACTAGTCTTGCAAGACCCTTCGATGTGTGAAGTTTGAATGTAGGCGCCTATGGTGACTTCATCAATCCCGAGCTTTAGCGATCAAACTCAGTTCTTTAGAGATGCTCATATGAGTCGAGCGTGTGTGCACGCGCGCGTTTACAGAGGTGAGTATACGCTCATGCATATAAAAGTCTGCGTCTGTATCGGGTATTTCGTAAGAAAAATAATAGTGGTTCATTTTATTTTCCGAGGGAATTAATGGTCGTTCATTCATCATCATGAATAAAGGAGCAAAAATTGCCGTTGGGATCATCGGAGCGCAAAGTGCTCCCACCGAATCTCCTCCTTCAGGTCACGCCAAAACGGGCCTGTTCGCTGTAAAAAAAACAAATTGGGCCTTTTTTGTTTGCTCGTCGTACGCCGAGAGGGTGGAACGCGCGAAAGGCCCAGACAGGCCCACACGCACTGGTTGCGGCCAGGGGAAGCATCGCCGACGTGTCGGCGTGTTGGGTGCGCCGGAGTAGGTTGCGTGTGTGGCTACAAAGCGAGCAGAGCAGAGCACAGCAAAACAGCAACAGCTGCCTAACCAACTGACACCAACCTACAGTACTACCGCTGCATGCAGATGCATCATCTACCGGTCAGCCTACCAGCATTGCATTGCGCCCATACAAAATTCATTCATCGATCAGCAGGCCCATCCATCCGTCCATCCGTTCCTCGCCGCACCTGCCACCAAACACCAAATGCATTGTTCCCTTCCTTCGCTTGCAATTCAGCACAAAGCCAACCAACCATCGAATTCTCATCAGACAGAAAGAGGGAAAAAAGGAAAACACATGTACAGACCAATGTGCGCCGCCTGGTCACAAAGCTTGACGATTTTGACCGAGGTGCCATTCCAGTTCATATATATATATATGTACTGCTACTATACATATATATTAGTGTATGTTTTTTGTGCCACTCGAAATGCATAAATGTTTGAGACCCAGCCGTGTCCACTAATGTCAACCACGTTTTTGACCAAAATAAGAAGCATCGAGCAATTCATATTTGCATCTAGTCAAACATCGCTTACTAGTGGTACAACCGCCATCAGGTCAACACACGAGTTGATGATACTACCTGCACGTGGTATTTGACACACGCACACACGATCTTGTACTAGTAGTACAGCGCTCAACTTCTTTCTTTATTTATTTCCATCCATTTTCTCCCCTAAGAACACAGTTTCCACCCTCGATGTTTTGGACTTCCAAAAGGAAAAGAGAGAGAGAGAGGACTTGTTGATGTACAATTAATATCACTGCAACACACAGTCTAACAGACAACAGTGTTAGTAAGATCTCCTTAATGGACAATTAAGATTTTTATAATGTTTAGCACTGCAGTGCTGTGCTGTGCTGAATATACTATTTTTTTAATTCGTGTCTCTTTCTGTGTAACGACCAGTACTTAGATCCCATCTAACCCCAGCATTAGCAAAGCCGCCTCTGAATCTCTCGGTATATATAAATGAAACCATCCTCTGTTCTTCCCTCTCGCTGACCGACTAGTAACGTGCACCCGGCCCGCCCAGCGCCAGTCACCAACCCGCCCACCTTCCAGTCCAACACCTTCTCCTTCCCTCCGTCCCTCGCCATGGCGCGCAAGAAGATCCGGGAGTACGACTCCAAGCGCCTCCTCAAGGAGCACCTCAAGCGCCTCGCCGGCATCGACCTCACCATCCTCTCCGCCCAGGTCAGTGCCTCTGCGTCCGCGTCGCCTCCCTCCCGGCCTCCTCCACTCTGTCTGAATATTCCCCCTGACTCTTCCCGGACTGGATCTGCCGCCGCGTGCTCGGTTTCACGTGATCTTGCCCGGGGTAGTGTAAAGATCCGGTTTTTATGAGCGCCCGACGGATTAAGCAGCCGCATTCCTCGGTTTTTAGCACTGAATGGTTCGAGGGTATTGCCTTCATTATTTGGAAATGTGGCGTGTTAGGAATTAGGATGGGGATCTGGACAAACAGAGGTTGAGTGAAGATCCATTTCGTCGCAGGCTGGTGCTATGCCTGAAAAGGTGCGATTTTTTATTTTTTATCCAACTGATATGAGCTATTGTTGCTTGCTGCAGTTCAATACTCCAATATGTCAGTAGGTGTGATAGGTAGGAAGAGTCTATAAGTTGAACTATTCATTTGGCCAGATCTGGTGGTTGTTTGGCCGTGTAGTGTGATTTGCTTATTCAGGCCTGTCTAAATTATTACGTCTAAAGCAGCTTGGATCCGTAGGACAGCGACAGGGGAGCTCAGATTGTTGAATCTGGGGTATTTGGGTATTTTAAGCAACTGTACAAAAGAAATCTAAGATCCCCGGTTTGAATTAGTATAAAATTGTACTCTGGGTGGTTCCAGTCTTATACTACTGATGATGATTGGACACAGTGTCATGTCGCCAGATAATAATTGACAAAAACAAGTAAAGACTGAATTTTGTACCTTGCTTAATGACAGATCACACAGTCAACAGACTTTGCAGAGCTTCTGAGCCAGCAGCCATGGCTGTCAACCATGAAGCTAGTGGTGAAGCCCGACATGCTGTTTGGGAAGCGTGGGAAGAGCGGCCTTGTGGCTCTCAACTTGGATTTCAATCAAGTCAAGGAGTTTGTCAAGGAGCGGCTGGGAGTTGAGGTATAGCGGTTGCTTTTGTGAAAAGGCTTTTCCTCGACATGCTACATGAGTTGATTTTCTTTTTTTCGTGATCCAATAATTTTCAGGTTGAGATGGGCGGCTGCAAGGCTCCAATCACGACCTTCATCGTCGAGCCATTTGTGCCCCATGATCAA